GTGTGTGTGTGTGTGAGAGTGTGCGCGTGTGTGTGTGTCCTTACGCAGCAGCAGGCGGTGACGGTGATCTGGATGGTGTTCCTGCCCGGCTGACACACGTGTTTCAGGTACAAAGGTTTATGGGAAGTTTTGTTGTCACCTCGCTCGATGGTGAGAGGAGTCGCGTTCACGCTCACCTGAGGAGGACGAAGGAGCAGCTTAGTGATCGTGCTCATTAACCTTTGACCTTCGAGGACGCCACCGTGTACTCCACGGTGGCGTCCTCGAAGGTCAAAACGAAGAATATTTCCACCGTGGAGCACACGGTGGAAATATTCTTCGTTTTCTCCAAACTCATCAACACAAAGGTGAAGCTGTAAGGAGGTCACACCTGGACAGAGGCGGGCCAGTTGGTGTTCATCTGTCGATCCTCGTGGTGGTAACACTTAAACTGGAGCTCCAGGTCAGGCCTGACACACACACACACACACACACACACACAAAATAAATAAGCTCTCTGAAGGAAGCAGTTACTGATACACCTTTAAAATGAAGGTGTGTGTGTGTGTGTGTGTGTGTGTGCGCGCGCACCTCATGATGAGTGTTTTGTAGACGGACTCTCTCAGCTGGAAGACGTGGTTGCTGACGGCCAGGTTGTGCTCTAATCTGAAGGGCTCCAGGACCACGCCATCTCTCACTGGGAAAGTCAGCCGCAGGTCGTCGCTAGGGTTACCTGTAAACAGGAAGTCATCAGTCACACACCTGCACATTGACTTCGAATCAGTGGGACAAAAGTAATCAGGTTATTTCACAAACAAAATTTGGAACATTTCCCTGATAATCTCAAGACCTGACTGATCATGAAACATTATTGATTGATTATTGTTATTGAAGATTATTGAAATAAACTTTGATTATGAAACCAAATGATGTTAATCTGTTTATTATGGTGGACTAATCAGAATATTTCCCTCGGATAAAGAGCTTCATTTCATTCATGACCTCAGTTTGACTCAAGCAGCTGGTTCTAATCGATGATCGTGTGTGTGTGTACCTGTCGGCGGGGGAGGGGCCAGGCCAGCTATGTTGGGTTTGATGTCAGGCAGGAAGGGAGAAGGCGTCGGCTTGACGTCACCGCTGCCAGGCGACATGTAGGGCGGAGCCATGGAGCTGCTGGGGGTGACGGGAGGTGTTGGGTTTCCCGGAACCGGAGAAGAGGGGTAACCTGGCAACCCTCGCCCCGGCTAACAGACGGCGCCGGAGAGACGACAGAAAACACAAAAACCTTATTTCAGCATGTGCGCCCTCACTTCCTGTCACATGTCTCCTGCTCTGTGTTTCTGATTATGTGTGTGCACCAACACTCAGGTTAACACAGGGGTCTATATGACGTCACAGAGGCGGGGATAAAAGCCCCACCCACTCATTATTAAGGAGGCGCAGCTAATAAGAAGAAAGCTGTGTTAAAGAGGGAGGAGCCAAATCAGGCAAACACTCGCAACGAACACAGACACACGTGTGTGCGCGCTCCTTACCCCTGATGGCTGGTTGAAGGAGTTG